TACGGTCGAACCAAGACTCAGGCCACGCGCCTTCGCCATCAAATCCAACGAGTTCGACCTCGCTTGAACCATAAGGCTAGACGCCTTCGTCCTCAAATCTAACAAGTTCAACCACAGTTGAACCAGGACTCGGACCAAGCGCCTTCATCATTGAACTCAGCGAAACCCAACCTCCAACGAATCGAGGCGCAGGTTAGGCACCCTCGCCCTTCAAGTAAGTACTCCAACTCAAACTAAGATTGGGGACACGTAAAGTTCGGCCCCGGTCAAACTACAAGGCCGCGTTTCTGTCATCACGGCCGACAGTTCGACCGCGCCCGAACTGGGACTAAGGCTAAGTGCCTCTATCGCCAAACTACAAGGCCGCATTTCTGTCATCACGACCGACAGTTCGACCGCACCCGAACTGGGACTAAGGCTAAGTGCCGCTATCGCCAAGCAACAGCTCCGACTCGCTCACCCCGAGTCGAAGAAGAAGAGTCATCAACAATTAAAAACTAACATGCCTACCAGAGTCAAACTCGAAGGCAAATCACCCCTTCGAGCGCATGCAAAGAAAAATCTAAGGGGGAAAAAGAGGAGGTACCAAACAGATACAAGGCAAATAACGGAACGGAGATCTCATTTATCTACGATATTAATTGTGGGTCATCCCCGCTTACACCCGGCCAAGGCCGATCAATACAAGGAAAGAGAAAAAGAAAAAAAAAACAAGAAACATCTAAACGCCAAATGGCGAACAAGACAAGAAAAAATGCATAACATCTTTTTACTCGGCGCCATCCGCGCCACCATCTGCACCAGCGTCAGCCTCTGGCGTCGCTGCGTCAAAACCACAGTCAGTACGGGCCTCACGAGCCTTTTGACGCGCTCCCTCGAAAGCAGCTTTGGTCACGATGCCGGCCTCCCACAAATTCTTATATACATCACGTTGGGCCTCGGCAAAGACCCAAAGTTCGCGAGCCTGGCTGGAAGAAACGGCTTGGTCCCGTAGGCGCTGATTCTCTTCTTCTAAGGCTGTGATCCGGTCCGCCATGACTTGGGAGTCCTGCTCAAAGACACCGATCCGCTCCTAGAGACTCGCTTCTCTAAAGGCCGCAGTAGCCCTTTCCAACGCCCGTTGGGACTCGTACACGCGAATAGCTTCCGTCAACGCCCCAGCCCTCGACGAGGCATCCCTCACCTGAAGCTTCAATACCGTGACTTCACCCTCCAACGCAGTCACTTTTCCGCTCCATGTCGCAGCGGCCTCCGCCGCCTTAGCCTAGCCCTGGCGCTCACACTCAGCTGCAGTCCTCCTCCCCGCCTCGAGCTCCTCATCCTTCCGCCGGAGTTGCTCCTCGAGAGCACTCGCTCTGCCAAGTGCTTGCTGCATCTGTATCTCCCGCCTCGCCAGTTCCTCAACCAAGGTCCGACTACGGGAATCATTCCTCAAGCGCACGCGCATCTCTCGGCACCAATCTCGGTTGCGACGGTACTTCTCCAGCGCCCGCAAAAATATCCCCGAGCGGACGTTGGCTCGACGGATGCTCTCCACCTCCAACAAATAAGACTGCAAAGCAAAGACAACGATTAAGATAAAAAAAACGAAATAAGGCAAAGAAGAAGCGAACTGACGTTATAGTGCATACCCTCAAGCCCATCACGGCCACTTCATTCATCAGTCCGACATCCGTAACACCCCTCAACGACGCATTCTCGGCCTCCAAGCATAGCAGCTCGAACTGCGGTACCAAGCTACTCCCTTGGAGCAATAAGTTCAGCTCCGTGGGAACCTCGACGAAGCGAGACCGCCCCTCTGCGCGCACTGCTGAATTGGTGAAGCCTTCCTGGAACATACGGACGTCGTCGGGGTCCAAGTCGGATTCAGACTCGTACTCATCTCCTACAACATCCCTTCCTCCTTCCGCCACCAGCGAGGTAGAACCACTCGCCGTAGCCACCGAAGGAGCGCTTGCCTCACCAACATTAGTAGCCGCTGAGGAGCTACCTCCCGTCTCAGCGACTGGAACCACCAATTGAGTCGCCGAAGCGACGACATCATCATGGCATAAGACAACCGGGGCAACCCCCATTGCTTGTCCACCCTCAGGGTCAGGCGCCGCAGCCACACTCCGCTCCGCATCCGCCGGGGAGGAGTCCAAATTAATTACGGCAGGAGGAGCCGGCGTGAACGCGACCCTACGCCTTATCAATGGCCTCTCCTCCTCCCCATCTGATGGCGATTCCACTCTAGGGCGCAGAACCCCGATGGCCCCTCGTCCCGAAGTGTGGCCCGTGCTGGAGAAGGAACCGCTGAAGATTCAACTGATGCCGCCCTCGGTATTGGGCGAGATACCGGCGCTGCAGTAAGCCGAGCAATTGCACCCGGCCGACGGAAGGCCAACTGAGGGGCCCTGACGCGGCGTGCCCTCCCTGATCACAGAAAAACAAAGTTGATGAATAGAGTTGAGACAAAGCGGGACAGAAGAAGAAATCAATTTTTTACCTGCCACAGGCCTACGACCATGCCTCTCCCAGAAAGACGCCCATGTGCGTATCCACACCGTATGGGGGAGCACGACCTTACCTACTCACGAATCCCAGCCAACGGAGCCGGCGGCAACTTTTCAGCTACAAAATTGATACGAGTTAACGTTTACGAGCACAAGATGTAAGGAGGGGCAGAAAAGGGGATTCGATGACAAAAGAACTTACGTGCATGATTCCAAGCCTCTGGGAACCCAGTAGAGCACACCACTAAATGTTCAATCCTGATGTAAAAGAAGTGCTCGAAAGGGCGAGGGTCGACCTCATCATCCAGTTTCACAGTCAGGCCCCTCGTCCCGCGAGGACACGCTCAAATCATGGTACCACGAACTCTCTGGGGAGCGTAGAGGCTAAGCACATGCTGCAGCGTGACCTCCCTACCGGCCAGTTCTACATATTTGATAAGCATTGCTAATAATTTGTAAAGAGAAGGAGCAAGCTGACCCGGGCATACCCGGTAGTAACGACAGAAATCAACCACTAGCATTGGAAGCGGGAGCTTAAACCCCAACCTGAAGGGATAGGCATAAAAGACGCAGTATTCCCTACGGTCGGTATGGACCCTCTCCTCGCTTCTAGCGAGAATGACGTCAACATAGCTGGGGATGACCCCCTGTCCCCGTAGTTGGGACATCCCAATCTCCCCCATTAATGGGGCTTCATCCACCTGATCCTCCCCACCATCGGCGGTGAAGTCAGTCATCGGACCTCCGGGCAGAGATACTATCTTGTCAACCGATGGAGCGTCATCGGCCTCCACCAGTTCTGCACCGCCCATTGCCGGAGATGGCTCTTCAGTCACCAGGGAGTTAACCGGAAGATCCGTCGGAAGAACGTTTTGGGAAGAACTGCCTGCCATTGTTGATTCGATAACGAAAAAGAAACAAAGTTTGAGGGACGAAGACGGAAGTTATGTCAATCGAAGAACAAAGATGAAGGTGAATTAGCAGGAAGAAAAGCTTCTTCAGAATCTCTCTCAGACAAACAATGAGAATATGAGAAATGAATGCCTCAGCCCTTATTTATAGGCAACGCAAGTGGCTTTCATGAACCCCAATAGCCGCCATTAACTACGTGACCAACCGCACACCGGTTCGATTCTACAGAAACGTGCGTCATTATGACAAGCTCCATGAAGCAGCTTTTCAGTCGCCAACCGGCGTCTCGTCCTCGAAATAGTTGTAACGACCTATGAACGCTGAGGAAATGTTCCGCGCGCCCTCAAAATTTTGGACGTCGCCAAACACGTATCGAGCGTGCCTTTACTCCCCTCGGCTACACAACATACGATCCGTCCGCCATGGTCGACGGGTATGCTCCCAAACAAACGTAAGGATCATAGCACAACAAAGCTTGACCTCACTCGAATTAAGTTAAAAGGTCAAGTGCCTTCGCCAAGGAGGAGAGTCCATCCTCGATCGAACGACGACTTAATAACAAAACACTGACACTCTACAAGGCTAAGGGCCATCGCCAAAGAGAATTCGGCCTCGACCGAAGCGATATTCGACCTCCCTATCCGAGTTTCTCAAACTACAGTCGATGAAATCCACTCATCGAGCTCGGCCAAGGCACGACCTCAATAAGCGGAGGGACTAACTGTATGGGTCAGAATCCGACCCCACGATAATTAACGAAGGTAATTCCGTCTTAAGCTAATTCATGATTGATTAGTGGTATGACCACTCAGAATTAACGGTATCCAACCCTTATCTAATTCGATCAACAAGGCCACGGCCCGCCCGTCATCATGAAGGCGAAATCCCAACGTGGTCACGGTCACTTATTGCCAGCTCACGAAGCTCACAACTATAATTACCAAGAGAGGAAACCCTAGAAAGGGGGCTTCTTCTTCGTCACTATTTACGAGAGAAAAAAGAGACAACAATACCCATATTATGGGCAAGAGGAACACCATTGTAAGGCTCTGAACCTCTTCGTGGAGAGGCAGACCAAACCAATATTGTCAATAAAGGCTTATAATGTTTCTCCCCCTAACCCTGAGTACTTATTTTCGTTTCCTTCATTTGGTCCAACGGATTATTACGGTTTGCTATGATTTTTCCGTGATTTATTTATATTGTTTTATACTCATAAAGTATGTGATAACTTTTGAGCAAACAATGGTATTGTTGTGTAAGTCACTGCAAGAAATTGGATTATTAGTGGCGACATATAGCAACGACCCTATAGGTTGCTACAACAGCTATATTATTAGCAGCGACTTTATAAGTCGCTACACATGATTAATGTTTAGTAGCGACTTTTTTTAGGTCGCCACTGATGTGGCTGGAATTTTCAATCCCGCTAATATAAAATTTTGGCTCCATATTTTTAGTGGCGAGTTTTGGAAAATCGCCGCTAAATCTCTGTTAAGCGATTTGATCGCTCCAATACCACACATTTTTAATTTTAAAATAATAAAAAAAGGCAAATACATATCCTAATTAATTAATTCATTTCAGCTACTGGGTCGCTCTTTGGTATGAACGAACCAAATATTCACCTCTCAGCCAAATTCTTCAAACACAACCCTAGCATTCTCAGCGAAATTCTCAGCGAATCGGCCCTCTTCCTCAGCGAAAATTTCAGCCAAATTAAAGTCCCTCAAATCAAAATGTGAATCTCTTTTGTCAGGTATGTTCAAATCCCTAATCTTTTTTATTTTATTTTTGTTTGGGATAATTTCATGGAGGAAGAATCAAAGAAACTAAGGGGTTTGCTTTCCTGTACCATTGTCAAAGCTCAAAAGGGGTTTCTTTTGCCCATTTTTAACGATTTGAAGTGTTTTCTCGGAGGCATGTAGGTCATGCATTTTCATTAAAGTTGACAAAACATCTTTAAGATGGAGCTTTATTCTTCTTCATAAATAATGGAGCTTTACTTTTACAGTTTCATGACAACTATTACTGCGTTTCAATCTCAATCTCAAGCAATAAGTGGACTCAACTATATGAATTTCGTTGTCCTTTTTTTAACTTTCCCAAGATTTCAGTACTTTGTTGAAGAAATCCTCGAGAATGGTTTTTCAGTTGATTAGAGAAGGAGATTTGGTTGAGTCAAATCGGGTCAGTGATTTCTACTTTTTTTTTATACTCAGGTGTGTAAGTTGGGAGTTACTCTGTTAGGCTAGTACCTAATTAGTTGCAATTTTCAATTTTGCAGATTGCTGTGTACATAGTCAATATGACATTTCATATATTAGAAGTGAAGCAGTAAAAGGTAATCATGTTTGCTATTGTTTCCAAGCTAAAGCATTCTACATTTATAGGATTACCTGTTATTTCATAGATTAGTTTCAACAAAAGGTACTCATGTTATTAACTCAAGTTCCTCAAAAGGAAAAAGGTCCACGCAGGATCTTAAGAATGGCGGTCTGGTTCTGATATAAATCTTTGTTTACTTGAAGTTGTGGTTTGAGACATTGGTGGTTAACTTGCTTGGTCATGTTGTTGGGTGAACCACTTCTTACTCAAAATGTTATTTGGCTAATTTAGCCAACTCTTAGTTCTGGTCAAAACAAGAGGAAAACAGAATCAGATGTGTTGCTATTTTTCTCTGTCATTCAGGAAATTTGTTTAAGCGTAGTCAAGGTAATTCCTAAGTGGAAATTTTTTTTGAGTTGTAATTTACGCTATATGATGTCAAACTAAGTTCAGATCGTGAGAGATTTGCCGAACCACACAAAATTGCATGGCTTCACGTTTGTCGCATTGAATTCACTTCTTTAATAAAACATGATATTAGAGTAGGGATCTAAACTCTGTTCAGTGTAGGCAGGTAAAAGAAGTGGTGTGAATGTTCTCTTGCCCTTAAAAAAGAATGTTTTCATGAGGGGGTCTAGACTTTCACTTTCATGTTTCTGAGTTCTTCTGGAATATTTCATGGTCAATACAAGATTATGCACTTTAGATACAAGCTATAGAAACTTTACAATTCATTTGTCTCTGCTTCACTTCTAATTTGCACTTGATTTTTCTCTCTCTACTGTGTACTGACTCACCTAAAGATCTTCTCTTTTTGAGTTCTACTAGACAGGTAAATTTTGTCTTGGTTCCTTTGTATTAATACTGTTCTTGTTTTCTCTGTTTTTCTGGTTATTGCTTAGTTTCATTTCTGTTCCTAATTGATTTCGTGCATTTAGGGATAATTCTCTTTCAACTTCGCTGCTCTCAAGTGTCGTCTATTCTCTTTGGTGAGTTTTTCAACATTCTTTTTCTTCTTCACTCTTTCAATATATATGGGATCTCTCTGCCTTTGGAATAGCATCTGTTGAGCTCCGTAGCATAAAATGGTTAACCAAATCATGACAAAAGTAGTAGCGAACCTCATTGATACAGTTAGTAATATTCTTGAGAACGTCAACGATTGATATTATCTTCATTGTTGAAGTCTTTAATTTGTTGGTGCGCAAATTTTATATATGAAATATGCCTTATAGTGACCTCTATTTTGAGTAATTGAAGTGCGAGCATCTATCTTTAGCATCTGCCCCAGTGGATCTTCCCTATATAGAAACATATTTTCTATTTTTGGAACCTATGTACTAATGGAAATATGGAATAGGTAGTTTTACTTCTATGAGATAAACCTCAGCTTCCATCTATCTTACTGATAGAGTTCCAGTAGGCTTCCATATTTTGTTTTCCTAATAGTGCATGTGCAAGAATGCAGTAACAAAAATTTGAGATTAGTGTTCAGGCAGTTTTGGACTGTCTTGGTTATTAATGCAGATTAGTTATTTAAGTAGGTTCAGTGAATAGAAAAGTATAAGCACATGAAATTGGGTAATTAAGGCTAGGACAGGGGTAGAGCTTAAGTTAGAAGAGGCTTCTATTCCTCGCACTGTCCAATACCTCTACTGTCACGACCCTAAAACCGACCCGGTCGTGATGGCGCCTATCGTGAAACTAGGCCAGCCGACACAATCCTCAAATCAAACCATTATTCTCTAAAAGTCATTTTTAAGCCATTAATTAACAAGAAATATCATAATATAAGTCTAAATGACCCAATGCGGAATAAATACACAAGCCCGACATCGGGGTGTCACAAGTCACGAGCATCTACTAAGGTCTGAATACAACGAAGAGTCTGAAAATATACTAAAAACAGTCTAAGGAAGACAAGAGGGAGAAGAGCAGGGCTGCGAACGTCGGACAGCTACCTTGCTAACTCCGATGACTCTGCCACTGAGCAATCAACACCTGCTACCGGGTTCAGAAATACCTGAATCTGCACACAAGGTGTAGGGAGTAATGCGAGTATGCCAACTCAGTAAGTAATAAAAGTAAATGAAAGCTAAGCAGTAAGAAAGCACATAATTCCACGTCGTAACACTACAACAAATACAGTACATTGCTCAAAAACAGTACAGAAACCATTTTTCTCGTAAAACAACTCAGTTTCAGTAAAAACCTTTCCTTTTAAAACATCCTTCAATAGTTTCAAACGAGTGATAAAACAGTGAGTACAAATGTTAGAAAACGTAAACAACCCCTCGGGCAAATCATGTATCATAAACCGCCCCTCAGGCATAATATCAACAGAACCAGCCCCTCGGGCTACCTCACAATCACTCGAAATCATCCCTCGGGCATAATATGAATCAAGAACCGCCCCTCGGGCAAAACATGGATCAAGAACAACCCCTCGAGCAATAACATGAAACAACAACAGCCCCTCGGGCTACATTACATCACTCACACTGGGTACCCGCGCTCACTAGGGGTGTACAGACTCCTGGAGGAGCTCTTACAGCCCAAGCGCTATAACAAGCCATCTCGTGGCATAATAAAATAGGCCATCGGCCTCTCATATATCACAATTAGTGTAACACGCTGCGGCGCGCAGCCCGATCCCATAACATCCTCATAACACATGCCCTCGGCCACACTCAGTCAGAAATCTCTCAAGACCCTCGGGTAAAACATGATGCTCAGCCCAAAGTATCATTTAAAATATTTAAAACGGAGTAAATACGACTGAGTTATGAAAACAGTAGAATACAACATGACTGAGTACAAATATGAAGTCAAAACAGTGAGGAATAATAGTGAATAAAACCCCTGAGGGTCCAAAACAGTTGGCATTCGGCCCCAAACATAGTAATACTCTCCAAAATATAGTAATATCAAACAGTTTCCAATTAAATACGCAACCTAATATTCGTACGTGATAGACAAAATCAAAATCCCCAATAGTGCATGACTCCACGCTCGTCATCTAGCGTGTGCGTCACCTGAAAGTAGCATAACGATGTGAAATCCGGGGTTTCATACCCTCAGGACAATATTTACAATCATTACTTACCTCAATTCGGTCCAAACTCTAGCCCCCGATGCCTTTTCCTCTCGAATCGGCCCCCGAATGCTCCAATTCAAACCAAAATCAGTATCATACCATTAAAACGCGCTAAAGGAACAAAGCCCAAGCGAAAATAATCAAATTAACTCAAAAATACCGAATTTGGCCAAACCCGACCCCAGGCCCACGTCTCGGATTTCGATAAAAATCACATCACTAGAATCCTTATCCTCCCACAAGTCCATACATACCAAGAACATCAAAGTCGGACCTCAAATGGCCCCTCAAATCCCCAATTTACACTCTCCAATTTCAAGCCCTAAACCTCCAATTTTAACCACTAATTTCCATAAATTCCATGTTTAAACAATTGAAAATCAACATAGAATCGAGTTTTAGGTTCAATAATCTTACCTTCAAGTGTTTCCCTTTGAATCCCTCTTCAATCTCTCCCAAAAAGCTCCAAAACCGCTCAACAATGGTGAAATATGGCCAAAAATCACGAAGACCTCTATTTAAACATTCTGCCCAGGGATTATTTCCTTAATCGTGATCGCGGAAACACCCTCACAATCGCGAAGAATAATTTCGCTGCCTCAACATTTTACTCTACACGACCGCGTTACTCCGCACGCCGAACGCGATGCAGTGGTTCCCCCGACCTACGCGATCGCAATTGACCCCACGCAAACGCGAAGGGTAACACCAGATTTCCTCTGCCGCCTTATTTTTTCTACGCGAACGCGGCTTGGCCTACGCGTTCGCGTTGCACAACCTGATTGACCTACGCGATCATGTCCCGTTCTCTGCAATCGCGAAGAGTTATCGAGCTGGCCTCCCATTTGCCTTACGCGATCGCGAACCTCCTCCCGTGATCGCGATGAAGAACACACCAGTTGCAGAACACCAGCAAACCAGCAACACCTTAAGTCCAAAAGATGACCCGTTGTGCATCCGAAACACACCCGAGGCCCTCGGGACCTCAACCAAACATGCCAACACATCACATAACATCATTCAAACTTGTTCCAACTTTCGGAACGCCCAAAACAACATCGAAACATCAAATCACCCTTGGATTCAAGCCTAAGAATTCCAAAGCTTCCGAATTCCGAATTCGATCAAAAAGTCTATCAAACCTCATCCGAATGACCTGAAATTTCGCACACACGTCCCAAATGACACAACGAACCTACTCCAACTTTCGAAATTCCATTCCGACCCCGACATCAAAATTTCCACTACCGAGCGGAAACTCCAAATTTTCAATTCCGCCAATTCAAGCCTAAATCTACCACGGACCTCCAAATCACATTCCGGACGCGCTCGCGAGTCCAAAATCACCTAACGGATCTAAGCAAATCAAAAAAATCCGAATCCGAGGTCGAATGCTAAAAAGTCAAAACTTGGTCAAACCTTTCAAATTTAAAGCTTCAAACTGAGAATTGTTCTTCCAAATTTATTCCGATTACCCTGAAAACCACAACCGACGATTTATATAAGGCATAATACATCACACGGGGCTAGTCATGCCCGAGAACTGGCGAGCGAAGTGCAGAAGCTCAAAACGACCGGTCGCTCCTCGATCAGGGAATCACAAGCCGTCGGTGTACGACTGATACCGAGCGCTCATGCGCGCATACGAACGCGTGGAAGGAATTTCAAGAATTACAGTTCAAGCTGAATCAATGTCGCACGATAAGAATTCAAGAATGTGAAGTTTTTCCTAAAGGTTCCGCAGCCTCTCGAAGATTAGTACAGACGTCTCCGTACCGATCCGCGAGACTGTACTAAACCTGCTCATACTTGTGAGACCTATGTAACCTAGGCTCTGATACCAACTTGTCACGACCCTAAAACTGACCCAGTCATGATGGCGCCTATTGTGAAACTAGGCCAGCTAACACAATCCCCAAATGAAGCCATTATTCTCTAAAAGTCATTTTTTAAGCCATTAATTAACACGAAATATCACAATATAACTCTAAATGACCAATGCGGAATAAATACACAAGCCCGTCATCGGGGTGTCACAAGTCACAAGCACCTACTAAGGTCTGAATACAACAAAGAGTCTGAAAATATACTAAAAGCAGTCTAAGGAAGACAAGAAGGAGAAGAGCAGGGCTGGGAATGTCGGCAGCTACCTTGCTAACTCCGATGACTCTGCCACTGAGCAATCAACACCCGCTACCGGGTTCAGAAATACCTGAATCTACACACAAGGTGCAGGGAGTAATGTGAGTACACCAACTCAGTAAGTAATAAAAGTAAATGAAAGCTGAGCAGTAAGAAAGCACATAATTCCACGTCATAACACTACAACAAATACAGTACATTGCTAAAAAACAGTACATAAATTTTTCTCGTTAAACAACTAAGTTTCAGTAAAAACCTTTCCTTTTAAAACATCTTTCAATAGTTTCAAACGAGTGTAAAACAGTGAGTAAAAATGGTAGAAAACTTAAACACCCCTCGGGCAAATCATGTATCATAAATCGCCCCTCGGGCATAATATCAACAGAACCAGCCCCTCGGGCTACCTCAAAATCACTCGAAATCAGCCCCTCGGGCATAATATGAATCAAGAACCGCCCCTCGGGCAAAACATGGATCAAGAACAGCCCCTCGGGCAACAATATGAAACAACAACAGCCCCTCGAGCTACATTACATCATTCACACTGGGTACCCGCGCTCACTGGAGGTGTACAGACTCCTAGAGGGTCTCCTATAGCCCAAGAGCTATAACAAGCCATCTCGTGGCATAATCAAACAGGCCATCGGCCTCATAACAATCACAAACCACCTAGTGGCATAATCAATCAGTCCCTCGGCCTCTCATATATCACCATCAGTGTAACACGTTGCGGCGCACAGCCCGATCCCATAACATCCTCATAACACAGGCCCTCGGCCCCACTCAGTCAAAAATCTCTCAAGCCCCTCGGGCAACGGTAAAACATGATGCTCAGCCTAAAGTATCATTTAAAATATTAAAAATGGAGTAAATACGGCTGAGTTATGAAAACTGTAGAATACAACATGACTGAGTAAAAATATGAAGTCAAAACAGTGAGGAATAATAGTGAAAAAAAACCCTGAGGGTCCAAAAATGTTGGCACGAGGCCCAAACACGGCTTTCAGCCCCAAACATAGTAATACTTTCCAAAATATAGTAATATCAAACAGTTTCCAATTAAATACGCAACTTAATAGTCGTACGGGATGGACCAAATCAAAATCCCCAACGGTGCATGAACCCACGCTCGTCATCTAGCGTGTGCGTCACCTGAATGTAACATAACGATGTGAAATCCAAGGTTTCATACCCTTAGGACAACATTTACAATCATTACTTACCTCAATCCGGTCCAAACTCTAGCCCGCGATGCTTTTGCCTCTCGAATCGGCCCACGAATGCTCCAAATCTAGCCAAAATCAGTATCATACCATTAATATGCGCTAAAGGAACAAAGCCCAAGCGAAAATAATCAAATTAACTCAAAAATCGCGAACTTGGCCAAACCCGACCCTCGGGCCCACATCTCGGATTTCGATAAAAATCACATCACTAGAATCCTTATCCTCCCACGAGTCCATACATACCAACAACATCAAAATCGGACCTCAAATGGCCCCTCAAATCCCCAATTTACACTCTCCAATTTTAAGCACTAAACTTCCAATTTTTAACCACTAATTTCCATAAGTTCCATGTTTAAACAATTGAAAATCAACATAGAATCGAGTTTTAGGTTCAATAATCTTACCTCCAAGTGTTTCCCTTCGAATCTCTCTTCAATCTCTCCCAAAAAGCTCCAAAACCGCTCAACAATGGTGAAATATGGCCAAAAATTGCGAAGACCTCTATTTAAATATTCTGCCCAGAAATTATTTCCTTAATCGCGATCGCGGAAACACCCTCGCGATCGCGAAGAACAATTTCGCTACCTCAACATTTTACTCTATCCGACCGTGTTACTCCACACGTGAATGCGATGCAGTGGTTCCCCTAACCTACGATTGCGATTGACCCCACGCGAACGCGAAGGGTAACACCAGATTTCCTCTGTCGCCTTATTTCTTCTACGCGAACGCGGCCTGGCCCACGCGTTCGCATTGTACAACCTGACTGACCTACGCGATCGCGTCTCGTTCTCTGCGATCGCGAAGAGTTAACCTAGCTGGCCTCCCATTTCCTTACGTGATCGCAAACCACCTCCCGCGATCGCGATGAAGAACACACCAGTTGCAGAACACCAGCAAACCAGCAACTCCTTAAGTCCAAAAGATGACCCGTTGAGCATCTGAAACACACCCGAGGCCCTCGGGACCTCAACTAATCATGCCAACACATCCCATAACATCATTCAAACTTCTTCCAACCTTCGGAACGCCCAAAACAACATCAAAACATCAAACAACCCTCGGATTCAAGCCTAGGGATTCCAAAGCTTCTGAATTCCGAATTCGATCAAAAAGTCTATTAAACCTCGTCCGAATGACCTGGAATTTTGCACACACGTCCCAAATGACACAACGGACCTACTCCAACTTCCGGAATTCCATTCCGACCCCGACATCAAAATTTCCACTGCCGACCGGAAACTCTAAATTTCCATTCCGCCAATTCAAGCCTAAATCTACCACGGACCTCCAAATTACATTCCGGACGCGCTCCCAAGTCCAAAATCGCCCAACAGAGCTAACCAAATCGAAAAAATTTGAATCCGAGGTCGAATGCTAAAAAGTCAAACCTTGGTCAAACCTTTCAAATTTAGAGCTTCAAACTGAGAATTGTTCTTCCAAATCTATTCCGATTACCCTGAAAACCACAACCGACGATTTACATAAGGAATAATACATCACAAGGGGCTAGTCATGCTCGAGAACTGGCGAGCAAAGTGCAGAAGCTTAAAACGACCGGTCGGGTCGTTACGTCTACTTTATCCGGCTTTCGTGCAACTGTTCTATTCTCATTCTTTTACTGCCTGAAAACTTATGTTCTCACACTTGTGCCATTTCAATTCACAATTGAAATAGCATAGAATAAGTTTACTGTGTTATACTAATATATTAGCTTGTACTTTAATCGTCTATGCATGTTTTTGGATATAACTAATCTCTATTTATGTTCCTTATATATATTACTTTTGTCTAGCAGGGACAGGGCACTTAAACAGTGGTATCATTCAAGGATGGTGTCGAGCAAAGAGCAGTTACAAGGTGATAACTATGGATTAAAGCCTATCGTATGCTCTCTTTTGCTTTGGTTTTGGACCAAAAATATGTAAAACTATTCCGAAAACTAACTTAAGGTGATTACTTGCAGGTTTGGGTCAAAATGAGGCAAAGAAGCCAAAATGAACTCATAAAGGAGTCGAACTTGCACAAGCCCAAAGAATGGAACTGGAGCGCTATCAGCACTATTATGATGCGGACGCGTATGACACTCAGCTGAGGCGATTGAAAATATGCTGCAGCGAAAGTGATGTTCAGAGAAGCTGCGGCCAAGTGCTAACACTATCGCTGACCGCGTCTAAATTACCCGGCCGCAAAAGTACCAGGCGTGGACGCGGTGCAAATATCGCTAAGGGCGAAATAGAGAATCAGAGACCTTGCAATATGAGCTCAAATGAGGAACGCGGTCCGCGAACATTTTACGTGGCCGTGATAGAAGCCAATGCTGATGCAGTAGACTTTACGCTGCACGCGAAACCTAGCCCAGTCCCAGTCCAAAATTGAAGAAACGCGGTGCGCACTTGCTTTTGCGCGGCCGCGAAAGCCCATGCGCTGAGGCGCCCAGTATTTCGCTGATCGGAACCTCCGTAGGAGTATTTTTGTCTAGTAATTTCAGCTGTGTATAAATAGATCTTTTTCACATTTTTAGGTTATCTTTTTGTCCGAGGAACAACCGTATTTTACCACTTGAAGTAATTTTAGAGCAGCTTTAGCTATTATTCTTAGATTTCATTCTTGTAATCAACTTTTATGGCTTATATTTTATCTCCATCTTTGATTTCTACCTTGATTATGAGTAGCTAAATCCATTAGCTAGGGTTGTGACCCAACCCTATTGTGGGTATTTAATGGGTCTTCAATTTTAGGGCTTAATTATTTACGGGTTAGTAATATTTAGCTTGATTCATGCTTTAATTGTAGAATTGGTGGTTGCAAACACTGATTCATGCCTTTATGACCTAAGACTCTTCTTGAGAAAGAGAGACTAAGTTTAGGAAATTTAGACTAACAAGGAATTGTGGTGCATTCAAGAGATTGATAGCCCCAATTAAAGGGTTAAACCTAGATATAGTAATACCCGACTTGAGATAATTTTGCTTTCATTGTTTGAACACCCAATTGGGCTTGAGAAAGCCAATTAGGGCAAAGTCACTCAAACTACCGAGAGGTATAGAGTGAGTAATTATGTTTAAAGGTTATATCATGACCCCAAATATAACAAGCTTGTCCTAAATTCTAGACCCCATTAGATACTCTCCTAGGTGTAAGTCACTTCCCTAGTGCTTTTTATCAATTGAGAAAAATCCTACAAAAACACTGTACTTAGATTATTTTCAGCACTCAATAGCATTAAAAGTATAATAGAAACTAAACCAAGCATGGTTACAAGTACAATTAAAAGCAACACGCGTAGCTAGATTGGATAGAAACCTAACTCCCAACCAATATTAGTTCCTTGTGGATATCGATCCCGACCTTTCGGGTAAAATCTCCATCGACCACTCCTTGCCATTATATAGTGGTGTAGGGTTGGAGCCGATCACTTTTTGGCATCGTTGCCGAGATCTAAACGGTTTTGGCTATCTATCTGACTAGTTGTGTGTCTTGTTTTTCTTTCCTTATATTTTACTAACTTGTGTGAGATAATTGATTCTGGTACAACATGGCAAATAATGATCCTATTGGAAATGTTCTCCCGGGGGAGGAGGTAGATGATAATGCTGAAGATGAGGTGCCTCTAATACCTCAAGCTCAAAGAAGAGGCCGCCAAGCCAATGATAACATTCAGACCCTCCCCAGCTCCTCCGCGAGTAGCTCCTCGGGTACTTCCAAATGAAGGTTACGCAAGTGCAATTGTCCCACCCCGGATCCGGTAGGGCAATTTCCAGATGACAAATGTTATGTTGACCTTATTGGAGCAAAGAAGGTACTTCACAGGCGCTCCCCATCAGAATGCATATAAACGTCTAAAGGGTTTTGTGGATACCTGTTGGGGAAGCAAATTGAGACTGAGATTGTTCCCTTTTCCACTTAGAGGGAAAGATTTGGACTGGCTCGAAAGACTTCCCAACCATTCCATCACCACGTGGGATGAGTTGGCCGACAAATTTATAGCCAAGTTTTTCTCGTCGGGGCATATGGCGACATTGAGAGATGAGATCCTGGCCTTCAAACAGGAACCAAATGAACCACTTCATGAGACCTGGGAAAGGTAGTATCGGATGATGGTGAAAGAATGTCCGAACAGTGAGATGACCGAAGCAATGATCCAACAAACATTCTACCATGGCATCAACACTACCAATCAGTGTGTAGTGAACCAGCTAGCAGGGGAAACTTTATGAACACACCATATGCTGAGGCGTGTGATATACTCTATGAGATGGCAGATACTTCCTCGGCATGGCAAAGTCAAGCTAATGTGCCGCAAGGTGATCCCAATGTCATTAACTTGCACAAAGAGCTCCATGACCACAACCAAGCAATAGCAGAGTTACCTACAACAATGAACTAGTTGGCCAAAGCTCAATTGCAGCAAGTTCAAGCGCCAAGACAGGTAAACGCCATGGAAGGGGTGAATATGAAGGTCAACAAGAGGCGACAAAGAGGTCAGAAAAGTCATGGAAATCCGGATTAATATGAGCAGGGTAGTAGTGGTTTAGACCATGATGATGGGTATGATGATCAAAGTGAAGAAGTCCAGTATGTGAACAACTACTAAGGACAACAGGGCAACGCTCCGAATCAACAACAACAATGGAGATCCCAAGGGAATTGGGGAAATCAAAACCAACAAGGAAATTGGAACAGTGGTAACAACAACAACCAAAACAATTGGGGAACAACAATCAAAATTGGGCAACCAGGGCAACTGGGGAGGAAACAACAACTAATGGGGTTGGAATAACGGTAATCAAGGAATCGGGGGCCGGGCTTTCAAAGGCCTCCGATGTATCAACAACCAAACAACCCGCCTCCATTTCCGTCTCAAGGTCCTAGCTCGTCAAACAATGAGATGGGACGGATTGAGTTGATGTTTGAGCAAATGATGAAGAAGAACACCGACTCTGATACCCAATTGGCGTCCCATAATACTTTTATCCGAAACTTGGAGGTCCAACTTGGCCAGGTTTTGCAATCTTTGAACACTTGCCCTAAGGGGGCACTACCTAGTGACATGGTAGTAAACCCGAAGGGTGGAAACAATACTGGCCATGCAATGGTGGTGACCACAAGGAGCAGTAGAGGTGGTGAAGTAAGTACCTCCAAGAAAAAGAAAGTTGTGAGTGATGCGGTTGAAGTGCAAAATGATGAAGATCCAATAGTTGATGAGCAAATGGGTGAAGTGAATTTGACTGGTGAAGTGAGAATTGATATTCATGACAATGAGGAGGAGACTCAAAATGATGTGAACCCGTCTAGGGAATACGTGATAGACATACCGGAAACGGTGAACCCGTCTAGGGAACACGTGATAGACATACCGGAAACGGTAGTGCCCAGGCTAAGGCTCCTTTGCCAAGGCCTCCTCCACCTTACCCTCAAAGACTTGCGAAGCAAAAGAATAAAAACCAATTCAAGAAGTTTGTTGAAATGATGAAAAACTTGTCGATCAATGTGCCCTTGGTGGAAGCTCTTGAGCAAATGCCGGGATATACCAAGTTTATGAATAACTTGGTGACTAAAAAGAGATCTATGGATTGTGAGACCATCAAAATGACTCATCAAGTGAGTGCAATTGTGCACTCGATGGCTCTAAAGCTTGAAGATCCCGGAGCATTTACCATTCCATGTACCATTGGGAGTGTGGATTTCGCAAAGGCCTTGTGTGATTTGGGAGCAAGTATAAATTTGATGCCTTACTCTGTATTTAAAACTTTAGGTATTGGTCAACCGAGAGCTATTTCAATGAGATTGCAAATGGCGGATCGAACAATGAAGAGGCCGCTTGGTATTATTGATAATGTTCTTGTCCGGGTTGACAAGTTTATTTTGCCTGCGGATTTTGTGATTCTCGACTGCGAAGTCGATTATGAGGTGCCTATAATATTGGGAAGGCCTTTCCTAGCAACAGGGAAGGAATTTGTCGTTGTGGAAACAGGGGATCTCACCTTCCGGGTGGGCGATGAAAAAGTTGTCTGCCACGTATGCAGATCAATGAGGCGGTCGCATAGCACTGAAGTTTGCTCTTTTATGGATCTGGTGACAGAGGTGATAGTTGATGACACGAGTGCCATGATCAATGTGGAGGACCCTTTGGAAGCTGTATTGTTGAACCATGATATGACTGAGGATGGAGGCTTGCTAGAGTGTGTCAATGCCTTACAAGGAATGGGTTCTTACACATGTAAACCCCGGAAACTTTCCTTGGATCTGGAGAACCGAAAGACTCCACCAATAAAGCCCTCAATCGAGAAACCTCCCGTATTGGAGTTAAAACCTTTAACTTCACACCTCAGGTATGAATTCTTGGGCCCTTGTTCAGCTTTACCTGTTATTCTTTCTTCGTGCTTAACTAACGTGCAGGTAGATGCCACCCGTGAGGTGCTCCAAAGAAGGAAGAAGGCAATTAGATGGACTCTAACTGATATTCGGGGAAAAAGCCCCGCTTTTTCATGCACAAGATTATACTTGAGGATGATGCCAAACCCTCCATGGAACATTGATAACTATGGATTTTGACGCATTTTATACTCCTTCTTGCTTAAGCTTTGATTAGAAATTCATACAAAATAGTCCCAAAAGGCTCACAAGTTGTGCTTGATTGCAGGTTTGATCAACAAAGTGACAAGATGTCAAAAATTAGCTCAAAAGGAGTGAAACTTGCACAAGCGCCAAAGAAAAGACAAAGCTCAGGCTAAATAAGGCCAGTGTGGCCGCACTACATTCTGTGCGGTCCGCACTAGGAGATTCAGAGAGGTGGATTTTCTGGCCAAGAGGTAGTGCGACCGCACTACCATTTTGTGCGGTCCGCACTGAGATCAACGCGACCGCAGTCCATTCTCTGCGGTCCGCAGTGAGGAGAATCAGAGAGCTGCAATTTCAGGATGTCAAGCCAATGTGGTCCACGGTCCTTTTTATGCGGACCACACTAGAAGCCTCCGCGGCCGCAGTCCATTCTCTACGGTCCGCGATGCCAAGGTTCAGAGAGCAGTTTTTCAAGTCCAAAGCCTTAGTGCGGACCGCGGTCCATTTTGTGCGGTCCACACTAACCCTGCAGGGGTATTTTTGTCCAGAATTGTCAACTTAGTATAAATAGCTTCTTTTCTATTTTTAGGTTAAGAAGATAGTATTAGAACATAGCTGCGCTCGTGGGTTCGAAGTTTGTAGCTATTTTGGGCAATTTTATCCACATTTCATCATTGAATCTTTGTGTTTATCTTAGTAATTAACTAATATGAGTTTATCTTCTTTTATTTCTTGCTTTTCTTCTTTAATTATGAGTAGCTAGACCCATAAGCTAGGGTTGTGGCTCAACCCTAGTGTGGGTAATTGATGGGTCTTGTATTTTAGGGATAATTTGACTATGGGTGTTTGTTATTTGGGCCAATTTCATGGTTGATTTCTGAATTAGTGGTTGCAAACACTAGTTTGTGTTTAGTTGACTTGAGCTCTTCTTGAGAAAGAGAGCCTAAATCTCCGAAATTGGTCCAACAAGGAATTGGGGCGTACTCAAGAGATTGATAGCCTCAATTAAAGGGTTAAACCTCGAGAGAGTAATACCCGACTTGAACCCTAGTTGCTCGTGCAAATTTGCATACCCAATTGATCTTGAGAAAGTCA